CTCCAGAGCCAGCTCCAAGGAGTTAATTGGTGTTTGTTTCTTTCTGGGAGCTGGTAATTAGCCTTGCTCAGGTGTGTGTGTTTAGGAGCATCCTTCCTGAAGGCGTCCTGTTAAGCCTGGCGTGTAACCTCATCTCTCCCTCCTCTTCCCTTTCAGCTGACAGCTCTGACAACTCTGACCTGGAAGATGACATCTTCTTATCTCTGAACGAATGAGAGGCCATCACCATCTTTGAAGAGCCCTCACAGGCGGGAAACTAAGTCAAGTGAATTCAGAACACCTCCGCTTCCCTTCTCCCAGGGCTGGCTGGCTGTTAAGGAAACTGCATGCCCTGAATTCTGAAGATTATGGCTTAGAGAGTCTCATTTGAATCTGAAGGTTCTTCCCAAAAAAAAAAAGTTTAACACCACAAAAGACAAGAGGGTTAGGCCCTATTCTGCTTCACCCCCACCCCACCCCCAAGGATGGACATATAGTTCCTCAAGGGAAAAAAAAAACATGCCTCTGGGGCTATTTCACAATATATTTTCTTTGTATAATGTTCTTTACTTAAAGAACAAGAAATAGTTTTTTATAAAACTAAAAAACAAAAAAAACAACAACAACCAAGCATTTATAAGCGAGGGTATGAACTTATATCCACCAGGTCTCTTGTCCATGCACTTCATTTTCTACGGGAGAAAATGGCGGCTATAAAACAATAGAGAGGCATTTTTACATACATATTTAAATGAAAGGAAAATCGTGGTTTCTTAAATTGATAAGGATTAAGACTATTTTATTATAAATATAATATATGATTTTTTAACTTGTTTGGTTGCCTCATGCTGTTGGGTTAATTGCCCTTTCTGCCAGAGATGGGGGGCAGGCGCTGTTTCCGGAGAAATGCAGAACCATCCCCTCCCTGCCTTCATGGCTTGGTGGCCGTAAGGTCATGGATATTGGTTTTGTGGAGTTGAGGGAACTTAGGATATAAGTTCACTCCCTCTGTTTTCCTTCGTGATTCAGTTTTTCAAGAAGCTTTCTTTCTTCCCTTTCTCCCCAATGTGGAAATTACAAATCAAAGGCCTTTTTCTTTAATGTGTTATTTATTTAAAACACACACACACACACACACACACACACAAAATAAACTACAAATCTGTCTTTGTTATGGCCTTTCCCTGTTCTCTTTACCAATGGGGTGTGGCCTCTCCATGCATTGTCCAATCAGGCAAGGGCCACCTGCCAAGAAGGCCAACCAGGAGGGAGAATGGGTTCTGCTCAAATAAAACCTCCAGGGAGAACAGTGGCAGTGTGTGTGTGCCTGGGGTCTACAGCTCCCTCTGAGGGCATCGCTACCCTGAGAGTACTTGTCAGCAGCTTGTCAGGGCCCAGGGAGGTGCAAGGGGCCTTGTCCACTATGGATACATCCCACTGTCCTCATGTTGAATCAAGGTGGCAGCTGCTCAGTATAAATTTGGGGAAGTGCTTGTCATTACAAACAGTGGATGTGAGCAATTCTCCAGTCCTGGAAGTTTGAAACCACCAGAGCCATCTTGGAAGACAGGCCCTGTAATCTGCTTCAGAAAGGTCACCTTAAAAACCTGTAGTGATCTCTACACATGGGGTTGCCATGAGGTGGAATTAACTCAGTGGCTATTAATCTCCACAAGTTTAGTCAGGAAGAATTGCAGAAAAATGCTTCCAAGGACTCAAAAACCACCAGGGAAAATACCAGGAACTCCCACCATTTCACTCATCCCATCCCACCCTTCTGTCCCACAAAGGAAGTCCATGCTTTCTTTGATTCCCCCCAAATGTAGCTGCTTGGTTGTAGTGAAGTAAACAAGACAGCTAAAAGTCCAGCAGGGGCTGGTAAAAGTCCTGCTGGGCTCAGGGGCGCTGTGAAGCTTGTCATCTATACTGCAGTGGGCCTGTGTCACACACACAACCTCCTGGCCCTCGAGAGAGCAGAGTTCTCAGCTCAGAAGTCACTTTGTCTTAGCTTATATGGGTAGCCAACCGCTAACCTGAGAGGCTGACTGTTGGTACCAAATGTATTAGAAGAATCAGTGAATTGTCTAGTATTAAAAGTAAAAGTACTGGACTGCCGGCCTCAACTCTCTGAAATCTACTTAGAGCTCTTGAGAGCCCACAGGCCTCAGAGATGGGGCCTTCAATAAAAAAACACAATGTTGACAACACACCTTCAGGAAAGAATCTTCCGAGGCTAAGGATACACCCAGTTCTTTGTTAAGTGTGGTCGGGTTGGTTCTAACTCAGTGACCCTTTATAGGGTTTCCAAGGAGCTGCTGGTGGGTTTGAAGTGCTAAATGTGTGGTTAGCAATTGAGTGCTTACTGGATCACTGTTGTTGCTATGTGCCGCAGAGTTGGTTTCCGAGGCTGTAAATCTTTACGGGAGCAGAACGCCTCATCTTTCTCCCGCGGAACAGCTGGTAGTTTCAAACTGCTGACCCTGAGGTTCGCAGCCCGATTCGTAACCACTACGCTTCCATAAAAGTAGTGCATAATAGTGGTTGCATAATAGTAGCAAACCACTAATATGGCTAATTTTGCTGTAAAGTGCTTTTTGGCCTTTAATAGGCTAAGCACTGGACTGATAACCCCAAGGATGGTAGTTCAAATCCACCAGCTACTCCTTGGAAACCCTATACATGATTGTTATGAGTAGGAACTGCCTTGATGGCACTTAACAAGGAAGCTGATTTTGCTGCAAAGCGGTTTTTTGCCTACAAGCAACCTCACTGCTAAATAGCTAAACAGCTTCCTGCTGGAAACAACTTCAGATCACCAGGCAGGGCCTTAACCACTTGACCTACCCTCACTTGTCTTGACCAAGACCTTGAGAGCAGAGGAAGTGGCTAAGAAGAGTCTGAAAAGTGAAGGAAGTTCACACAGCAGGGTGTGGCTGAGGCCAGAGGGTACCATCCCTGAACAGGTGGCAAAGGATCAAGTGCCTTCTTCCACCCAGCAGGTCAGAAAAGTTTTGACTAATCACCCTAGTTTTATTTGTAGGAACCCATTGCAATGGGCCTTCCAGCCATCTTCCCACCTCATTTGCCCCAAGTGAGATGAGAATTATTGTTGAGGGCTCCACCAGTGCCTGTAGCCCAGGGAGGACGCATCTGTGGCTCTGCTCTGCCCCAACGGACTTGCTTAGTTTCCTGGCAGCTGTGGCCACAGCTCAGGTGAAAAAACTTGTTTATATTATCTCATGGTAATATATCTTGCACCTGTTCTCATGAGCATTAGCTGAAGCCCAGTAAGCCCCTAGCCTGATCTCCAGCATTAGCTGAAGCCCATACCCCGATCTCCAGGGTCTCTAAATGGCGGGTGCCCCAGCTCATGGACAGGAAGGCATAGCTAGTATTAAGTTCCCCATCATTTGAGGACTTACAGCAGGGCTCCCACTTAAGCCCTGAAGACAATACCTTTTGGAACACTCAAGATGCCACACACAGGCTTCTGTTTCAATCAGACTACACTTGGCCTGGCTCCAACTGGGGCCATGGTCTGGTGGCAAGTGCTACAGAGTTCGGGTTTCCCTCCCTCGTTCCTGACACTGCTGGCCTATACTACCATCCCATAGACAAGGACAAAAGTGAAAACTACTCCCCTCAATCCTCATAGCCAGAGGATGTCTCCACAGCCCCTACCCCTCAGCATGACTTGAACGGCCAACACTGCAAATAACACCTCCCAGCATTCTCCACCTCACTCAGCGCAAGAGTCCTCCGGCACATGCTGTTATCTAAGTAGCTTCCTAACTGCGCGCACTCCCAAGCGGCATCACTCAAGTAGTTCAGTCCTGTTGACTTAAAAGTGTCCCCCACAAAGCTCTAGATATAACTGGACACAAGCCTATTTGACCAAAAAGCCAAATTCACAAAGGTCAGGAAAAAGGAATTCACAAATTATAAAGACTGCCCTCACCCACTATCCCAATCCTCCCTCAGATCCCCAGACTGTCTCCAACACCTACGTCCCTGGGCTGAATAAGGTTAGAGGGGGGTCAAGAGGGATGACCTAGGCAGGTTGATGTCACAAAGACTCCTTGACAGTAATACTGCACTGCTTTTCCTTCCTATCCATGCCAAACACATCTGCTAAAGACCACCAGCTTTCAAACCGACCTTAAGACAGCACTTTGGCAGCTACAGTTCAAACACGGACACACAATTTGTTTAAAGAAGGAAAAACCAAAAACGCACACCTACCAGTAGCTGTAAGAAGTTCTGGTGTGGTGCTGTAGGATAAGCACTGGACTGCTAAACGTAACGTCTGCAGCTCAAACCCAACAGCCTCTCTGCAGGAGAAAGATGCTTTCTGCTTCCATAAAGATTTGCAGCCTCAGAAACGCGATACGTGGTGGCTACGAACGAGTCAGAATCAATCTGAGTTTTTAAAGTACCAGTTGGTGTCACACCTGCTGATGCTGGTGGTAGAGGTGGGATTTAGAGCCCTAAATGAAGCCCACTTGCCTAGATTAAAAACAAGTGAGCACAGCCCCACCTCAGCCCAAGAACCCAGGAGCTGAGCCCTTGTGCAGGAGGATTTTTGGACAATTGTGGTCCCAGAAGGGGGCTGAGGAGGAGCACCTGTGCACAGAGTGGGGGAGGTGGTGGGGGTGGTTTTTGAGAAAAGAAACTTGATTAAACCAGCACTCTGGACAGGATTAAAAATGCATCCTCTGACAAAGGTTTTACTGACAACTTTCCATACAGTTAGTCAAAATATAAAAAAATACAGAACATGGCAGACAGAATCTTGTACACTAGAAACAAACATAACAGGAGTCCCTTCTTATGACAAAAAAAACACACAAAAGAACCTAGAAATTTCATTTTGGTGGTGAACAGGCTCTCTCTCCCCCCCTCCCCACTCCCCCCTCCCAAATGAACCAAAATAACCCAGCAGAGAATTAAACCAAGGGAGGTCAGACTTTAAAATAACTGCTTTTGTGACAAACATGGAGTCAGAAAAAGACATGTTTGGGCTAGGCAGTGTCTCTTACTATCACGATCACCATGTGCTCTTCTTCTAGCTTGCCCAGGGTCCTCAGTGCAGACTGGAGGTACTGCTATGAGAAGTCGCAGGGCGGGAAGGCATAGAGCATGCCAGTGCTGTCTCTGCCCTTAGACCCACCCACTGGCAGACTGATAACCCCCGCGGCCTGTTTCTGTTTCAAATAGGATACCAGGTTCCTGAGAAGCCGCCTCTGTAGGCCTGGCTCCACCGTGGGCATCCCCTCAGTGCCCGGCCCACTGGGGACTGCCTGGGTGGCTAAGAGCACCGCATAGCCATTGGGGCTCCCCTGCTTGATTCGACGAGTAACCTCATCAAGCTTGGGCTGGTCCAGTCGAAGGCGCTGGGCAATCTTCAACTGGGTCAGCTTACTCCCGGAAGTGTGGTCTTTGAGGAGACCACTGATGACTCCCTGGTCCCCCTCTAGGATGTGCATAGATGTTGAGAAGCAGCTGTTTTTCAAAACAAGAAGCCCATTCCAACCCAACTGTAGTGTCTGGGCATACTCTGAAAGATTCTTTAGCTTTTTGGTCTCATGTTTTGGTTCTTCCAGCGGCTTAGGCTCAGCCTCAGTGGTCCGATGATTGCGCTCGCTGTCTCTGGTCTTCTTCCCGTGGGAAGAGTCTGGAGCCTCGTGGTGGTGGTGGTGACTCCGCTCCTCAGCCCCATGTCTGCTGTTGCTGAGAGAATTGCTGCCTGATTCCTTGGTCCCGTCACTGGAGTGGTTTTCCTTGCGGCTGCGCTCAGGGGTACGGTCAGAACCTCGCTCCAACTGCTGCCCACCACCCTTGGTTCTGCTCCGTTCCTCATAAGGGGAGTGGGTTGTACGTCCACGTTCACTGGAAAGGCTCCTGCGCTTGCGCCTCTCTTCCCAGGGCTTGGGCACCCCACGGTCCCCGTCTGCCCCCCAGCGTTCTCCACTTCGACTGCGCACAGTACGGCTGTAGGCCTCCAGATTGTTTCGGCGGTCAGAGCCCTTACTGGGGTTAGTCCAATCCCCTTCCAAAAAGGTCCGGTCTCGGTCTGAGTACAGGAGATGTGGGGGGGTCCTATCCCGCACCCTCAGGTCAGGATCTAGGTTTCAGTATGGGGCATATCCATCTGGGAGAAGCTCATAATGCATGGGGAGTGGTGAGGGCTGGTACTGCTGTGGATACCGAGTCTCCTCTGCTTTGGCAAAATCTATACAAAGCTTGCGATAAGGACCACCCAAGGGAAAGCCCTTCATTTTAGCACAAGCTGCCTGTGCTGCATCCAAACTCTCATACTGGATATAGGCAAAGCTGTCTCCCTTGACATGATCGATGGTTCTAATGCTCCCAAAACGGTCAAACTCTCGGGCCAGTGCAGCCAGTGAGGTGTTAGGACCCAAGCCACCCACCCAGAGACGAGTGGTAGGTTTGGCCTTGCCATATCCTATCTTAATAAGGTTGCCATATCCTATCTTAATAACCCGGCCCAACATGGCCATTTTGGCCCTGTGAGCCATGTCCAGGTTCTGGAACTTAAGGAAGGCATAGGCGCCACCCTGGCCACGGGCTGGCCTCTTGATGACCACCTCTTCAATGATGCCGTATTTCTCAAAGGCGCGCCGCAGCTCCACCTCTGACACGCTGTGGTCCAGGTTTCCTATGAAGAGGTTGCGCGTGGCCCGCTGGTCGTCCTCGGGCATCAGGTCCTCTTCGCACACTGTCGGGTAGCCGTAAGGGCGACCGCGGTCGTCATACAGCCCGTAGTAGTCCAGGGCCCGCTCCCGGGACAGGCCCACGGCAGCGGCAGCAGCAGCATCCAAGGCGAAGGCAGCGGCGGCGGCGGCGGCAGCAGCGGCGGCATGACGAGCTCTGGGTTCCCGTAGTGGTGGGGCGGCGACAGGGGACAAGGAACGCTGCTTGTACTGGTAACCTCCATGTAGCGGCAGGTAGCCAAGGGGATCGGCGGGCGCGGGTGGTCCTGGAGGTGGTGTAGAGGCGGCGGCGCTGCTACTGCTGCTTCGCCGGCTGCTCCCACCGCCACCACCTCGCAGGTACACGGGCTCCACCTTGAGCGGACGGTCGTAGAGCAGTAGCTGGCGGGCCAGGGCGTGCTGGCGGGCCTCGCGGGCGTCCTGAGGGTGCCGAAAGTTCACGTAAGCCACGCGGCCCAGCTCCGGCGTATGCGACAGGCGCAGGCTGATCTCGCCGAAGCGCTTGAACTGGTGGAAGAGCCGGTCCTCTAGGTGCTCGGCGGGCAGCGCGGGGCTCAGGCTGCTGATGAGTAGCGTCTTGTATTCGGGCGCGGTCGCTGACGAGCCGGGGCCTGTGGACTCGGCTCCTGGTGGTGGCGGCGGCGGCGGCAGCGGGGACGCGCGGGGTGACGCTCCGGAGGCTCCCGGGTCCCCGGAGGCCTTGCCGGCGCGTCCCCCGCCGCCGGCGCCCGAGCTTGAAGAGCGACCGCTGCTCGCACGGTGATTCGCTTCCCCGGCGCCACGACCGTCGCGATGCCCTCCCCCTCCACTACCGCGCGGCTTGTCGCGGACCCGCGCAGGAACGGGGTGTTTGGCGCCGCCCGAGGCCTTGTGCGCCGCCCGCCGCCCGCCCGCCTCCGCTTCTCGCTCGCGCTCCCGCGGTCGTTTGGCCGACGATGACGAGCCGCGCCCGCTCGGGCTCGAGTCTCGCTCGCTCAGCCGCTTCATGGCGCTGGCGCGGCAGGCGGGCGGGCGGCCCGCAGGCCCTTCACAGCGGCGGCGGCGGCAGCGACGGCTGAGGAGGCAGCGCCCCCGGCGCCGCCATCTTGGACAAAAGGACTCGGCGGGGCGGGGCGGGAGAGGCACCGAGGGGCTGGATGCTGCGTCATCGTACAGCGCCAGTCACATCACGTGACCAGGGTTCGCGTACAGCGTATGTCATCGGACTGCGCCGCTCGTGCCACGTGACCCAACAGCTGGTTGGTATGGGCTTAACTGGGTGCTCTGGCGCCATCACGCGTCCTGTGGAACTCAGATTAGGCCATATGGAGTGTTCGGAGCCCATGCGAGAGCGGCACTGGCTTGAGCTGCCTTTGGCTCTAGCCAGTCATCGGGCAATGGCTTTAATTCATCTCTTCGGATTCGGCTGCCTTCTGTCTCCGGCGCTGACTGGAGCAGGAGTGGCAGATTCCATGAACGCTGGAGTTCAGCGGCCTCTTTACATGGTGCTCCCCAGTCCCCATCACAGAGACCCCTTCCCGCCCTGGTGTCCAGCATTGATAGCCTTGACTACCTAGCCGTGTCCCTCCTCTGGAGTTCACATCCTATCATGAATAGCTTCCGCGTTCAGGTTCACCTACAGATCTTTTAGGAAAACCGTTTGGGTCTGTACACATAACACCGCCTAGTGATGGAGACCCACAAACCTGCAATTAATAGGTCAAAATAAGCTCCTTGACATCACTGAGCCCCACCCTGCATTTTAGATATGGTCAGACCTAGAAGAGGACAGCCTTAAGCCTAAAAGGAAGTGGCGCACAGCCAAACCTGCAGACGGTTTCAGCAATGCCTACCATACTGATTTCACAAAACTTTTCTGAGAAGTGGATAGTAGCAGCCTTTGGCACACCATCCACTGGGAGTTTCATTCTCCAGAGATTGTTGCTGGAGCCATGGCAAAAGAAAATGGACACTACAGCTGTGTCCAACCAGAAAGATTTCCTGGAGTGACTAATGGGGAAAGTCTAGGGAAGGGAGAAAAGCCACCTCAACCATTGTTGTTAAATGCTGTTGAGTTGGTTTTGACCCATAGCAATCCTGTATAGGGGTACCAAAGAGCAGCTATTGATGTTCAACTGCTGACCTTGCAGTCTAGTGCACTGACCCACAGCATCACACCAGGGCTCCTTTGCCATTGTATGACCTCTTAAATTCTTGCTTCTTGGAAGAATGACACCAACCTTTCTCTACAAGTGACCTTGGGGCCTATGGGGCTTTTTATGTTCCTGTATTCAGTGTGACCTGTAGGACATGGAGGCCACAGGTACCTGTCAGATCTGTGGCGATGACCTAGAAGTTCACCAGCTCCTCTTTCTAGCATCTTTGGGGGGCTAGGGAACACTTACTATGCTAGCCAGACCTCAATAGCCTCATTCTCCCAAACAAGAAAGTCATGGCCTGAGAAATGGTTTGACTTTCTTGCCTTCGTCTCACATGTGGCACTGCAGAGACACACAATGTGGAGGCCTGCCTGCTGCCAAGCTCCACAGCAAGCTCTCAGGAGCCCCATTTTAATCAAACATTGTAGGTAGGCACCAAACCCCAATTTCTTGGAAAGCACTACTTAAGTCATTCCCTTTAGCCATTCTCTCTCGGTACCTGCTCTCCAGAGCAGAGATGCCTTCACCAAGCCAAAGCTCATGCTAGCAATTGGAGTTCTAAGCACCAACCCCACACTTACTTGCAACTCAAAAACTAGAGTCTAAGGAACAATCCCTCAGGATCTTAACTGTTGGGTAACCTTGAATAAATGAAAGCAAAAGGCAGCTGCCACCTGACTCTTTGTACAAGTTAACTCCTGCCAGTCTTGCTAAACTCCAGCTAGGCATCACAGGCTTGGAACTGGTATTAGATGCAGATGAACAGTCGTAGCCAGGCCAAGAGCACTTTTCAGTACTGAACACACAGTGTTCGAAGTCACCATCAGAGAACACCAAACTCCAAGTGCTGCTTGGCCCAAACTCAGTGCAAGCCCCTTCCCATGTACATCACACTTCACCTCTCTCAGAAAGAGCTGAGCAGTTTCCAACCCTTCATTGGATTAAGACACCCAGGAAGTGAAGGGGTGGGTGGGGTACCATCTCTCCCAGGTGCCTGCTACCCTCTTGTGCTAAATGACCCTGCACATCCTTGGGCCTTGGGCCCTCCAACATGGTCAGTGAGTGAAAGAGAAGTGGGACACGTCTGAAAATTCATTGCTAACAGAAGAGCCTAAGTCGGCAGGATCCTCCTCATGGAGCAAAGCTCTACTTTCCATATCCATTTTTCAATCTACAAGAACTAGAAATTTTTTTCTTTTAATAAAAAAAAAACCCAGACACTTTCAAGTCCTAGCGTAAACCAGCAACAGAATGAAGTGTACCCCCAGCACAGGGGTACTGTCGAGCCAGCATCATCAGGAAAGCTCCAGGCTTCACACCTGACATTGTCAGGAGCCCACTTAAAAAATAAATTACAAAAAGGCTATTTGGGAAGAGACAGAGGAACTGTTTTTTGTCCCCTCCAAGTGCAATGGGGATCAGGCCAACTACAAATCAGTCCGTGAACTGGCTGCCTTGGGGGCATATTTAGGCATCAGTTCGTTAATCTTCCGGATATAGTCGGCCTTTTCTGCACAGCCTTTGCACATCTCCCCCCAGTCGTCCAGGATCTTCTTCAGCTCTTTAACACGGAGCTTCTTCAGGTCCACTGTGCTCAGGTCAATCTGCTTGTCTGAAGGAGAAAGCAATGAGAGGGACCAGCTGGGTGAGAGTGGCCACTGCTGCCCCAATAGTGCCAGGACAGATCATCCTGCATGTACCCAAAAGAAAAGGGCCAGACCCCTTCATCAGGATTTTCCAGCACTGGCTCTTAAGGTTAGGAGTCAGGCACTCAAGGCAGAAGCTACTCAACAGGATCACCTCTACTAGGCCCTTTCTCAGAAGACCTACCATCTCTGACCCAAGTAGGTGAGTGCAGGCTCTTGGATGTTCACAGAATAATGAAACACAATGGCACCTTAACCGAAAAGGACACTATGCCTGGCCCCTGACCCTTTTGTACTACAACACAGACCTGGCTATGTTTGGACAGCCAAAGGCTGACTCAGCAAACTGGCTTGCCTTGCCCTGGTGGATAAGAGCACTGAGCCTTCAGATCATGTCCCTTCTTTGTTCAACAATCTCTAATGGCTCAAACTCCACTCATATGAGAAGCTCAAGTCCTTTCAGACTGTCAAGAACCTCTGTGACCTACTCACCCATCTGTCATCTCACTTTGATTCATGAGCTATTTCCTTGGCTGATCCCCTACCCTAACTCCATGAGGTCAGCTGGAATCCCGCTCACTATAATGCTCCCTTCCTTCAGCAGGCAGTACCATCTATGGTAACGCAATAGTTAATGTGCTTGACTACTAATGTAAAGGGTGAGATTTGAGTCACCTGATGAAAAACCAGCCTATGGAGCATAGTTCGAATCTGACACACATGAGGTTGCCACAAGTCTAGTCAACTTGATGACAACTGGTTTACCTATTTACCATAACTACATAACCACTCACCATGGCTCTAGTTTGTCTCCCTCAGCTACAAAACAGCTCCACACCACCACCATGCTGCCAAGGCTGCGCGGTGTTTGTCAGACAGGATTTGGAGGCACTCACCATACTTCAGCTCACAGATCTGGCTGTCCTTCTTCTTAAGCTTCTCACAGATCTTTTCCACAGGGATATGGTGGGCTAGGGGTTTCGACACCTCATTGATGATTTTGGTAGCTGCATCATCTGTGGCCCCGATGTAGTAGCACTGCAGCAAGAAAGGACAATAGCCCTCAGGAGGTGCAACATGAAAGCTATCTCCTCCAGAACATATTTCTTCTCTGCCAGTCTCATTTTCTGGTGCCTACCTGCACTGACATCAGATCCAGTTAATACAAACCCCAAGCTCTTAACACCTGCTCAGTCCCAGAGCTGACAGGCAAAAGATGTGTTTAAGAGTCACTAGGGTACAAACTTTTAAACAGTCAAACCAGACACTTCTGGGAAAAAAAGAAGTAGAGCTACTTTTTAAAAGAAGCCAGTGCTTCACTAGGCTCTGCTCACACCTCATTACCCACTTCTTCCATTCTCACACACGCTAAGCTCATTCTAGTCTCAGGACAATCACGGAGACTGTTCCCTCTGCCTGAAACACTCTTCCCCAACTTCAATGATCAACATTTCCTGACGATGTCTAAATCAGTATTGCCACCTCCCCCATCCCACCCAGGTCTATTCTCTTCATTATACACATCCTGTTCATCTATTGCTTGCCTGTCAACTCTCCTCTAGTATGCCCAGCATCCCGACAAAGGTCGTAAACAATAGCACAATGTTGTTAAGTGCCATGGAGTTCATTCTCTCATAGCCACTCTGTATAGGGTTTCCAAAGGCACTCTGGTAGAATAGTGGTTATGAGTCAGCCTGCTAACCTCAAAAATCAGCAGTTCTAAACTACCAGCTGTCCCATGGGAGAAAAATGAGGCTTTCTGCTTCCATTAGGATTTACAGCCTCAGAAGACCGATGCAGGGTCACTGAGTAGGAACCGACTCCATGGCACACCACCACCACCACCACAGGGTTTCTGAGGAATGGCTGGTGAGTTTGAACCTTCAACCTTGTAGGTGAAACTGACACTTGGGAAAGTAGTCCAGTCGCTGTGTGGACAGCTGGTCTAGCAGACAGCTGAGCAGAGCCTTCTCAAGAGGCCTGTGAAGCCAAGGGTTTAAACCCCAGGCAGTGCCAGCGTGGGAGGGTCACCAGCTACTCACCAACCGATTCTCTTTTCCTCTTACTTCCCGGCAGAAGCTGGTAAGTTCCTTCTCGATAGCGGCTGGTGAGAATGTGACATCTTTGTCTTTGAGGTCCTGGTAAAATCTTCCCAGAAAAGAAATGCACACTGGAAAAGAAAGGGAAGGAAGATGCTTGGCATTCACCAAATTGCACCCCTTCACCAACTCGGCCAACAAGTTCAATGAGAGACAGGATGAATCATTAGGAGTAGGTTTCCTATCAACGAGTTTTTCTTCAACTTGCTGGGGGGGTTGGGGGTTGTTCCACCTGGGCATGAGGACAACAATCACCATCCCAAACCCCACAAAAGAATCCTCCCTGCTCCTTTGATTAAGTTTAAGCCAAAACTGAACACGCGTCCTTGAGAAGGCACTATGACCTCAGAAGTGGGCCGACTGGAGGCTGAATAGAGAGAGACGGTTATAATGCATCCTATTTCCAAATACAACACCGAACCCCAAGTGCAGCTTCTAGACCCCAAAAGGAGGAGACCGACCAGGGAGCACCTAACCAGGTTTGGGAGGAACAGGAAGGCCGGCATTATCTGATTCTCCAACCAAGTATCCAGCACGCTCTAGTCCCAACTTTTTGCCTCGGACATTTTGTAGGCCTAGTAAATGTTTTTCTGACCCGCGTCTGCCACTCCTCTAGCCGACCTCCCGCGACGGCCGCTCCCGCCCCCGACCGTCCGCGGTTTTCTTGGTTGCTAGGCGGCCTCGCGGCTGGCTAAGCCTCACAAACCCCCGCCCCGCCGCACCTTCGCAGTCGCCCGGTCGCAGCGCCCGGCCGCCAGGCAGCACGCTCAGAGCCAGCGCTACCGCCAGCCCGTGCGTGGCCCACATCATACACCTCGGTCGCTACCACTGCCGCCGCCCGACTAAACCGCGCCCGCTGCGCTGCACCGCCTCTAAGACTCCGTCGCGCGCCGCGGCTCCCCATTGGCGAGTACCCTCCCACACACCGCTCCCCCATTGGCCTTCGTGCCCCGGAGCCCAGACGGGCGGCTCCACGCTGCCTTTCCCCATTGGCTAACGGCAACGCCGGCCCTCAACCCGAGACAGTTGTCGGCCGCTGATTGAACCAGGGTTAGCTGCAGGAAGAGGCCGCGGAGGTGGGATGGACCACCATTTTGGGTAGGGGCAGCAGCCTTTTCAGAAGCCGGGCAGAAGTGAAGTTCGTGTTCTGCTCCGCGCCTGTCTTATCGGGCCTTGCCACAGGCCGTAAACTAGCCCCCAAAACTTCGTGGATCTCCCTGCCAATGGGAGTCGAGACCCAACAAGGCCGGCCTTCCGGCGCCACAGAAGACCAGAAACCTTCACGGACAGGGTAACCAGCCTTTGAGGAGCGTCTGCTGAGGCTCAGGCACCTGGGCCATTTCCGAATTTCCCCAGCAGTCTCAGGTGCCCACCTGCTTTACCCGCGGTGACTGGGTTGGACAGACCTGCACCTCTCGGCCGGCCTCCAGACCCATTAACCTCCAAGCGACCATGTAGACCCGAGGGAAGTGCCGGGGCCACCTGCTGAGACTCGAGCATCTGAGACCCAGCCGGCCTCTGATTGGAGAGGTCAGTTTCTCCCTACCTTGGAAAAGCTCCATTTCCTTACAAGCTCCGGAAGTAGAGTCGAAGCTTGTGGTCTACCTTCTGCCCTCCCGGGGTGCCCAGAGTGCCGCCAGAGTCGGGTCCTGTGGGTCCCCCAGAACAGCGCGGACGTTTCCTCTTAGGCTGCCCTCGTCTCAGATCCAGGGCTGGGCAAGGATCCTGCCAGTGCGCGATGCCGGCGAGCCTGTAAAGGCCTGGAGCCCCTGGAGCCCGGGGCCGCTGCTCCCATTCAGTGAATTCAGTGGATCAGTATCAGGTATTCATCTTTAATTCACATCACAGCAGTCAAAGGAGTAGGGGCAAACCAAGTGGCAGATATTTACATCTAAAATTCACATTACTTACTTGTTGGATTCAGAACATGCTACCACAATATATACAGTAAAATACCTCATGGGACACTGGTACAAATTTTTGTCTTTTAACGTTGTTTTCTGGTACAGGTTAAGATTATTTTAAAATAACTTTTTGTTTAAACATGAATACACAAAAGAAATGGTTAGAAGTTGTCTTGTTTTAAATAAGCACAGAATGCCGGAGGTTAAAAACACATTTATAGGGCTGAATACCAATTGGACATCACACTCTATACATTTTTTGCTCAAATTCCTGTACAAATACACAGCATTCAAATAGGTATTTACAAGTAAGTTTGAGAGAATGAAAGTATTTCACAATCTTTTCAAAGGATTCTCATCTCTAGCCTCCTACTTCCCCCCAGAGTGGCTGATTCACCTACAAAAGGGATTTGGAATGTGTCCTTTTCATCTGGTTGGGGAAAATGAGGGGAAGCACAAACTCTCACCTTGAAAAAACAAGGACAAACTCACACTGCCCTCAGCAACACCTAGTGCAGAAGGGTCTGTCTGGGGGCAGAGACTCAGAAGTGCCATCCAAGCTAAAGCTGCCCCCCACCCCAGCCTACTCAAGGATCAAATCCAGAGCTAGTCCCAGGCCTCTTAATCTTGTGAACACCATTAGCAGATGTGCAGGGACTGAAGCTTGGGGGCAAATCCAGACTCCTCCAGGATGGGGAGCTGCCAGGATTGAGCCACACCCTCAGCGACCTCCTGCCCCTACTGCCTGAAGTAATCCCTACAGTATCAGAGAGGACAGAGGACACACACTCCATAGGTGCCCTGAAGGGAATGTGGCCCTCCATATTTCCCAATAGGTTACTTGCTGGCATTCTTGTTAAACAAGCTGGTGCTTGTCATTTAAGAGGAAAACACCCGGACCAGTGCTTTTTCTATTTGGAAAGAGGGGCTGTAGGGAAGGGATGCGGGGCAAGGGCCCTGGGCCAGGCCATGGAGATCAGACAGGACGACAGCAGCAGCAGAACTGGGGGGCAACATGCCTGTTCAACAGGGCGGTCTAACCATCCAAGGCCTTGAATCACACTAATGTGAACTCGAGGAAATGAAAGAAACAAAACACATTTTGTCTGTAGACATCTTTTTAAACACAACCTAGAAGCACCCTGGTAAAATACAACTACACCCACCCATCCCCTACCCCCAAATAATAAACCAAGAGGAAAATTGACCTGAAAGAGTTTCCTATAAAGACACCACTGTATTCTGTCCAACAGACTAGGAAGGCTGGAGAAACTTCCCTCCTGCCAGCCCCGAACCCTGAGTGGTGATCGGTCCCCATGGGCCTGGAGCCGGGTACTGACTCGGCAATTTGGGAGAGTACAATCCTACCAACATGGCCCTCTGTTTCCAAAAGGAGCAGCTTACTCCCATCTTCCTCATCCGGGAGCTCGCAGAACCTGACTATGTGTCCTCGGGCCTGGAGGTCTGACTGGGCAGCCAGGTCCAGGCCTCGGAGGTAGTGCTGAAAATCCCTGACGAGCTGGGTGACAGGCATTCTGACCATTTCTGAAAGCTCAGAGGGTTTGGGTCCTTGCAGCACCCCAGCTTCACATCTACACCAGCTTGTCCCTCAATATATGGCCTCTTGGGCCCTGGGGAGGGGCCCCTCTGCCCACCACATTTCCCTGTGCTGCCCTAGATGGTGGAAGCTAATCTTGCAGATACAGTCACTATGGGGGCTGTTGTGTGGCATGACGTGTACTGAGTGGGAGGAAGCAAAAAGTCAAAAAAGAAAATGATGGAAATATCCAAGGTGGAAGAGGAGACAAGGTTGGCCCATGGAAGCCTGGCGATGTGCCCTGGACGTGCAGCTGGGCCAGGTCACATGTCTGAGTTGGCAGGTTGGCTTGTCCAGCTTCTCAGCTGCACACTTCTAGCAAGGAGTGGGCAGGCATTTGTGCAAAACAGCTTGTAGCCCATCATCTACCCTTGATGTGTAGAGTCCTCAAAGTCCTAGCAATCCCTGAATGCAGTCATGATCGTTTCTGTCCACACAGCAAAGAAAGAGGTCCCTAGTGCAATTTCCATTCTTCTGTGCATCTCTACCCTGGAGGGAGGGCCTGGGCTCTTGCCCAGGACCCTGCAGTGCTGCAAAGCGATTCTGTCTGTGCAATAGCTCCACATAGCTCCACGTGGTCTGAAACTGCAGGAGGAAAGAAACATCTACTGCACAAAGGAAAGAAAGGAAAGCCCATAGAAATGGAAATGTAGAAAATGAAATAAAAAGAGAAGCCACAACCATTCATGCTGCTATGGCCTCTACATGGCAACACACGAGTTCAGGGCAGTAGAATGGAGACTGGGTGGTTCCCTCCTGAGTGTCAGGCCTCTCTGGCTCTCTGGGGTGAAGGGACAGCAGCGGACTTGCTTTTCAGACCCAGAGTGGTTGGGCAAGCAGCTCACTGAGGGCAGCCCTCCTGTCCCTCACTGTTCTCCTCGGCCGTGTTCCCAAGCCATGCGTGCCTGCTCCTCCTTGGTGCTCCCAGGAGGCAGTGAGGCTTTGCGGTGCAGGCCACGAGGCCTTTCAGCTTCTTCACGCAGCATCACACTCTCTTCCTGCTCCAGGGCCGGCAGGCGGGGGTGGTAGGGCTTGGGCGGCAGTGCAGGTGGGTCTATGGGGTCCTGTGGGATGACACACCCCGGGGCTGAGTGGCTTCGGCATGGCTGGGTCTTGATGGAGTCCAGGACTGTAGATTCAGAGAGGCTATAGTGGACGGGGAGGTAGGGCGGCTCAAGATCGTCATCGGCATTCCACGCCTGGCTCGGCATGGAGTCCATGGTGTCAGTGCGAGGTGGGGCCTCTGAGGAATGCCCAAAGTTACTCTCACTTAGGGAGGACACGCCGCTGCTGGCACTGCCGGACAGTGTAGAGTTGCTGCCGTCAAGGCCCGATTGAGGGCTTGTGGGGGAGGCCGGGATAGGGTGGAGAGGAGACTGTGAAAGAAAAGTTGGACATGTTACAACACCCCTCTCCAGGAGTCTGCTTAGTCATGAACTCTGAAAAAACACTCATCCATTGTGTTTTCTTTAGCAGCAACCCCACCCACCACCTCCACCAGGCCAATGGAGCCCCAGAATCATGTGCTTCTCTGGGCTGAAAAATTGGATCTGTCCTGGCTGCTGGGCAGCTCTCAGGCCTCGATGGGTTGTTGGGTTGTTAGGTGGGCAAGGAAGGGCAAAAAGAAAACCCTGGAGAGCCAGCTGGATTCATTCGGCTGATAAAATCTGTGATTGAGAGGTAGTGTTTTCCAATTTGCAGAAAAATTAACAGGTGGGATTGACGGTTTTCCCACAAAGCTGTGGTGTCTGGTGCTTCTTGGCGCTCCGATCCACCACAGGTTGTGTCTACCTTGCCATGCTGGCAGAACCCCAGGCTTCCCAACGCTAGCTAGCTTAGCTACCATGCACTCTAGGTCCTGTGTGTTGCTGTATACAGGACCTCTGACTCATCCCCATCACAGAGAGGGTGCTGAGCCTGCAGAGACAGGCGCTATGTGGGCAGGTACTTGGGCAGCTACTGCAGAGCCCAGGGGTGATTCTAGATAAGATGACTCATCTCACAGCCCCGTGAGGCTTCCCTTCAGTACCTTACCTTACGCAGAGTCCGGGCAGGGAGGGCAGGGGGTGTGTCACCCAGGGGGTGGTGGAAGGCGTCAAAATGTAGGTAATGACCTGCAGAGGGAACAGAACCAGACCTTAAACTGGGACCCCTAGGCTGTGGGCTCTCAGGCTGCACACCAACACCATCCTGCTGCAGCAACTAGGTAGGCCTGGGAGAGTCGTGGGATGCCTCAGCATTGAGGATCATAGAAAAACCTCTCTTTACATTGAAGTGCTCCAAATGCGCCACAAAACAAGCTGTTGAGATAAAAGACACCCACTCAACACAGTAGGTCACAAAGTTCGAATGCAAAGGAGCCTGTGAAACAAGAGGCCACAGGCAGCGACACCTCTCCAACTGGGTGATGAGAGACTGGTGAGTACTAGGCCTGGCATAGTCCAGTTGTCCTTCCCATGGTCTTCAGCCTCCCTGAAGTCTCAGGTTGGGGTGTCTTTGCCACACTAACCTGCTGTTCTCAGAAACCTCACTGACCCCTGAGCCCAGCAGGATCCTTTCTGTGGTAGGATGTTTGTTCCTTGGCTGAGACAGCCCAGAGAATAGCCCATCTTCTCAGCCTGGATGGCTGCCGCCCTTGCCCCTGAGCAGAGTCTGAGATCAGGAACTATCTGGGGGACCCACTGGAGGTCTCCTTACCATGTGTCAGGCTTCGGGGAGGCACTGGGGGGGCCAGGATGCGCCCCACATGGGCAGACAGGAAGGGCTGGGCCTCTCTGGCTCCGCTATCCAGGCTCCAGCTGCTGGGGGCTGCTGGCACCACTGAAGGGTGGAAACAGATGGCATGAAGAAGGGAGGTTACTTGTTGGGATGCCCATCCTACATGCCTGCGGCTTCTCCAGTTGTGCACCATGTACCCAGCACACATGGGATTGTTATGCCAGCTCCTGGGACTAAGACCACTGGCCAAATGAGGCACTATGGGTCAGGACAGAAGAGTGGCCAGGGACAGAAACAGCTCAAGAAGAGAGTGAGCTGATGTCTGAAGAGTATTCAAGATGAGGCACGCTGAGAGAAAGTGCAGCACAGAGTGAATGAATACAGCCCCCAAGGTTTGCCAACAGAATAGGACAAAAGCAAACAGGAAAGGAGAGGACAGGAGAGCAGAACAGGTTGGTAAGATCCAGAGAATATAGGGACTAAAGAGTGACTGCCCAAAGTCAAGAACCAGGTCTGTCTTTCACCCAACCATAGTGGGAAAAGTAGGGAAGGCTGGCAGGGTAGGAGGATAGAGACTTGTCTCCTAGAGCAGGGGGCATGACCAGGAAGTAGGCAGCAGCTACCCCCCAAATCAGACCCTACAAAGGGTATGTAGTGATGGACAAACTTGACCCATCTCTGTTGTTCCCACACCCAGAGGTTTTTCTAGGCAAGGACTGGTATTCAATGTACCTACCCATTGGAGGAAACTAAAGCCCAGGGGTTGCAGTTTAGGTCTAGCTGGACCCACTGCCCCACTGCTTCCTGGGAAGAGAAAAGACTCAGGCATCCATGTATTTTTGAAAATCCAGAGAAGCCCAGTTCATGGCACCTACATGCCATGGATGCAGGACAGAGTGAGTTCTGCATAAAGAGGAGTTGAGTGCCCTCCTTGCTACTGGTCCCTCAGCCCCCATTGGGATGCACAACTTTGCAGGAGGAGAGAAATGAATGGCTGGACCTTGGGTCTGAAGGTACAGTAGGGGACATATGAATTCTGTCGGCCAACTCCTAGAAGATAACCCCCACTAAGAAGAGAAACATTCTTTTAATAGGCTGTCAGCAGATGAAATTCACAATTCAGGTGCCTAGCCACTGGCTTGTTCTAAAACAGTTGTAACTAAAGTGACCCTGAAGAAGTCAGGATTTGGGTTCCTCCTGGTTGCGGCATTAAGTGAGGAATGCCAGGGCCTTAAAGGACCTGGAGGTACTGAGAGAGAAGGAGCTGGAATCTGGCCTTCAAGGAGGATGGGACCAGGAGGGGCTGGGCCCCATGGTGGTCCAAGGATAGAGAGGTGGCATCCACCTTCTTCCCTTTCATTGGGAACTGGCATAGGCTTGAAGCAGAACACAGAGTAAAACTCAATGATCTAAAATGTACTATTCTAAAGAGGGCTGCTCAGTCTTGTGGTATGGTTGGTGACAGGAGGGAGGAGTATGACAGTCACTAAATGGGCAGCCATTCAGTTGTTGACTGAAGGGAGGAAAAGAATTCTGAGTCTCACATAAGCATCAGGTGGGCTCTATCAGATGGTCTCAGAACCCTGAGCCACCCCCAAGAACTGAGGTCCATGGTTGCCCAGGCTCTCTCTCTGATGTGGTGTGAGTTTCCCAAGTCCTCTGCACTGAGACACCTCTCCTGACAAAAGGCCACCAAATCTCAGGGAATGAACAGCTTGGAGGTAAGTCTGGGCAGCTTCCCCGAAGAGGTTAGATAGCTCAAGATGTCAGGTACACTGGAAGAATTAGAAGGTTACAAAATCTCACCAAAAAGGTCCCAAAGGAACTCTAGAGGCAGGAAGGCAGAGGGAAGAAAGCTGGCCAAGGCTGCAATAGCTTCCAAAAGGGGGGTCTAAGCCACTTCATGTGCCAGAAACCATCAAACACTGCAGTCTAGTGTTTGTCATCAATGAGACCAGTAAACCTTTGCCATGCAGCATACATCTACTGGGGCCAGTGGGGACTCTCAAGATGGAACAACTTGTCTTAAGAGAAGATGGGCCAAAGTCACTGTGTCCTGTGACCCTATTATTCCCTGTCCCTTTCCGTGTTAACAGCTGACCATCACAGTGCACAGACCAAGCGCTGACAGCAGGCTTGTTGGGTCAAGGAGTCAGACACCTACAAGCGAAGAGGTGGACTCCTCGCACTTGATATCTTGACTGTCAAGAGTGGTGACAACTGTGTACCATTCTGTCCTAGTAGATCCAGGCATTGGTCTAGGTGTTTCTACTGGGCACAAGTCTAATTTGCTGCCCACTTAAGAGTAGTTTTGTGGCATCGACATGCTTGCTCTGGGCCCGGCCTTTGTTTTGAGACTTCTTTCTTCCCCACACCTGGGTGTGGGCGTGTCCAGCTTCTTGCTGCAGTCTGGCTGAGGCCTGGAAGCTCTTCTGTGTTGGGTTGGGATAGGGTTCTGGCCTGGCTACTGGCACCAATCTTCAGCTCTGAAAAGCTCATGTTAGCTCTTGGGTAGTTCTGAGGTTGTTCCACATGTCAGGTAGAGAAAAGGCCACTGTGGATTCTGGCCTTGAGGCCAAAAGGGTGCACGGTTTGGCTCACAAGTGCAGGAATCCAAGTAAACTGTATGTTTTGGGGATGTGCAGCCTTGAGTCTAGAAAGGCATCTTGAGCCACAATCTCCAGGCCCTTTGTGGCTGAGCACCTGGTGTTGATGCTCACTAGGCACCAAGACCATTTAAGGAAACCCAGGGTTTGGTTTCCTTAAAGAGGATACAGAGGTGTGTCCTCTATGATAAGTAATAAACTGTGACAGTGTAGACAGCAGACAGCACATGGTGAGGAGATGCACTAACAACATGATGACAACTTTGGGAGAACGTTTTTCAATTGACTAGGGAGCAGCAGGCTCTGTGGTAGGGTTAAGTGTGCCCTAAACTCCAACAGGTGCTGTCCTCATTTAGATAGTGTTGAAATCAACTCAGGTCTGTACATCTGTTGCTTCTGTCCAAACATCAATTTGTAGGTACAGAACACAAGGGAAAACACTATGTAAGGAGGACTGCCCTTGCAACATATAAGATGGACTCACAGCAGCGGTTTCCCAGAGTGGCTACAGTAGGACTGGACCCAGGGCTTCACTAGGAGAGGACTGTGTTTGGAAACTCACTGTACCATGGCCTGTCCTCCCCATTCCTCTTGGGTTCACCTGGTCCTGTTCTGAGTTCCAAGGAGAGGTCCCTCAAGGATGAAAGGGATCACAGGGTCTGCTGCCCAGGGGAGTATTTTCCCACAGTTTGTACATGACAGCCTGTTTCCATACATCAGAGCTCAGAGGAAGTGACAACAGGGGCCTCTCTGAAAGTGGACCCTGTGGAGGGAGAGATATAGACAAACTAAAGGGATCAAAGACTAGCACCAAGCCAGATGTAGGTTCAACAATGAGGACAGGAATCGGTCAGGACTCTGGACACAAAGACAGATCCTGGTATTGGCATATGGCTCAGGGACAAAAGTCAGACCCTCAGGATGGGGACACACATGAGAGAACACACCTGGAGGGGAAGGAGGGATGGAAAACAATACCTTTTTCGGCCACAGAAAGATTGGGATCACTGCAGGGTTTACAGGCTCCGACCACTTGCTGGAACAGTGCCCGTTGGAAATTTGGCAGCTGAGGGAAGGAGACAATCGTGAGAAAGGCTAAATATGACCAGTTATATCTTGGGGGAGCCAGGACATTCCAAGGACCAGACTGGGAAGTCAAACCAATGGTACTGCTCACGCTTGAGGTGTGCCATGATCTCTACGCTGGAGAGAAGACTGTCCTCGGGGACCTGGCTCTGAGAGCTGACATGTTCACTCAGAGTCTTTGCAGCACACCTACCAGTGTCTTGCTGGACTCCAGGAAGAAGCCATGGATATATGAGCATGTCCAACTGTCTCATAAACCTACATTAGCTGAAGGTTAAGGACAGCCCCCAAGCTTAGTATTATAAACAGGACCTGCTATTCTATTCGGCAGCTGCCAAGTAGACCTGTTCCCTCAGCGTGGGAGGGCTGATGGTACAGAGATTTACCACCAAGCAAACCCTGGCACACTGGGACTAGGTAACAGTATCTTGGAGATGATTTCATGGACTCTGATAGAAGCACAGGGGCAGACTGGGCAAGGGAGGGAGTTCATCTTGGCAGCTTTCTGCTGAAGTCCTCCAGGTATAGTATTTGTTGTTAAGTACCGTTGAGTTGGTTCTGACTCATAGCGACCCTACATAGGGTTTCCAAGGAGTGACTGGTGAACTTGAACCACCGACCTTTTGGTTCAAAGCAGCATTGCAGTACATCACATTAGGCCACGGTACCACACCAGGAATAGTATTTAGAGCTATGCAAATGGTGGAGAACTGTCCCAGCATGTGTAAGGGGCATTAAGTGGATTGATAGATAAGAGAGGCAGAGCTTGTCCTTGGCACAAAGGGAGAAACAACATCCTCTAGACCCATGTCTACCACTGTCTTCTTGGGACAGGCTACAAAGAACCAATGTTCTGTGCCAGACTGTTTAGGTATGAGGTATCCAGGGGGCTAGCCAGAAGCATAGATAGCTACACAAGCTATGGTGGTTCCAATCCTGCTGCTATTCTACCCACACCTGCACTCTGTGTGGATGGTTGGTTTTCAGATTCACTGCTGTCCCCACCCCAGAGCCCAGCAGCCTGTGAGGGACCTTACAGCAGAGTGAGGATGGCAATGTTGGATAGGGCCAAGGGCCTCACAAGTACAACGAGGGAAACCTAGGGCAACACACTTGCAGCAAGAGCAGTCAATAGGGTGGATCCATACCTGTCCGTTCTCCAGGATGGCAGCTGGGTACATGGCACTGCTTGGGCGATCCCGGTGTGTGGGCAGCAGCAACATCATTTCTCGGGCGTGGCGGTACTTATCTGGCAGAGAGGGAGAGCCTGTAACCAAGTGAGAACAATCACGCACAGAAGACAAGCCACAGATGGAGGGCTTGGAGGCCAAGCGTTCTTGGGACGGGATAGCTGTCCCCTTGCAACTGGGGTGGGATGAGCTCAGCAAGCACAGGAAGAATGAAGTAGAGCCTGGTCGGTAGATAGTAGAGGTGGCAGCACCTTGTGTTCCAGCTGAGACAGACACGCTGCAGGCTGGGGTGCTACAGACCTGCTGACAGAGCCTTGTCACCATTCCTAGAAGCATTGCTGAGGACCCTAGAAAGCCTCTGAGCCCAGCACTTTTAGACAATGGGTGTGGCCTGGATGCTGGGCTCTCTAGGGGGCATAGGCACTGGCCAGCTTGCAATGGAGCCATCACAAGAGACAGAGACATTCAGAAAACAGACTCACGTGGTTCTTACGTGACATACCATCGCCACACACTTACCTTATTTCCTGACACCATTAGCCCTGTTCTCAGCTGGCCCCCTATGACCCTCTTCCCAGAGACTTCTCCCTCCCAGGTACCAGGCCCCTGGCAACTGGCCTCTGCTTTCTGCTTGTCTTACTGCTACAGCCCTGGAGTCGGGCTGGTTGGGTTAAGGCCTGGCACATAGGAGGTTCTCTAGGATTTCTTACTCTTCAGTGAACTCGGGGATCAAGGAACTAATCAGGAAGTCACAGGATTTTAACCCAGGCTCTTCAATTGACTTGGTTCCTGCTCTTCTCTTGTGAGGTCTCTGTGACCATCGACCCTGCCTTGAGGCCAGACCATGCCAGATGTAGGGTGGCTGAGGCCGCACTGATGTAGGCCAGGGACCAAACCACCTGTGGTCCCTAAGAGGCCTTCTACAGAAGCAGTGGGAACAATGCACTGCCCTCTACTTGTCCAGGGACAGCCTCTGGCTGGCTTAAGTGGTCCAAAAGTCTTTCTGTGGTGCAGCCTGAGTGAAGTCCGAGAATCGAGACCAGCCTGTGGGCTTCAGAGGAAGGTAGAACCGCACCCCTTGGAGGCTCTGTGTCCTTTTGCATAGGCGATGCAGGCACAGCTGAATCAAAAGGCCTTCTTCAGCCAGTTTGCTTCAAGTGTCCTTGAGAAATTCTTACTGTACACATTTGATCCAAGAACATGAGGCTGAAATGCTTCAAAGAAGTCAAAGTAAAGAATACCAGTAATGAATTATTATGTAACTTCCTCCATAGCCCATCTAAATGCTTGTGGAGCCTCAGAACTGGCCTTATACCATTTTAAATCATGACCTTTACTGATCAGGGAATGGTTATAGCACTATTTGGAGGGTTTACTGATTTCACTGTTTTCTTTGAGAACTTGTGCTCTTAGACAACTAAAGAAGATGGCCATATAAAGAGAAAGGAAAAATCGCTTCTAGCAGCACTGATTTCTATTGTGACATCCCTAGGGCACTCAGAATGCTTCCTGAGCTCGGCCTGCCACAGCTCTGCACCTTGACAGCAACTCACTGACACCACCAAACCCCTACTGTGCTACACTGGCCATGGTCCCTGCCCTAAGGAAACACACATTCAATTTCCTGCTGCATATTGCACCATGATAGGAGGGGCCCTATCATCTGATGGAGTGACTGCTGCTTGTAGGCCCTCATCGAGGACCAGGGGCACCATTGAGGATTAAGGTTCCCGTCATGAGTACCCCTCTGGTGTTATAACAAAGGGGTATTCTGAGTTATCACTAAGTTTTCCAACTACTAACCTCACCTACTTTCTGCTGCTGCTCCAATGAGAGGAAGGGGTGCTGGTGACTTCTTTTTGGATGTTTTTCATGAAAACATTTAAATATAAGGGATTCTTTGTGCACAGAACTTACTGAACTGCTTAAATTGTAGTCTGATAAACTCTAGGTTGGCTGAGCCCCAACATGAATGAGGTATTGGGAGAGCATCATTCAAGATCCCCATTTCCTAGCTCTAACCGGCTTATTTACCACCAGAGGGAGCTGCTGCCCTACAAACGTTTAGCTTGAGCCTTCCAGGAGAGTTTTCCAAAGCAAAATCTGGAACATAGCAGAGTGCCAAAGGGTATGAGAAGGATGGACACTGGTCTCATGACCACACTTGGCAGTAGAAGAAGTGACTCCAATGCAAAACACTACTCTCCAGTTCACCTTCTCCATGGAAGCCTTCCGCTCACCTGATGTACCAGAGCATCAATACTGCGCCCACCACATCTATCTGCAAACACCAGTCTTCCTCTGTGATGCTGTGTCCTAGTGCTCTATCTTTTTTTATAGGGCCTAACACTGGGCTTCACAGACAAATGTTGGGCCCCCACCTTTCACCCCTTTCTCTCTGAAGGCTCTGCACTCAGATTACATGGATGTTGTGACCTGGAAGTGATTTTCTGTTCTCTCTTATGGTCTCTGCCCATATCATCATTCCCTGCTCTGGCCCAATTCTAGCTAACAATTTTATTTACTTTTTCACTGAATGTCTACCCAATAAAGTGGTAGACATTCTCTCAGCCTTCCTCTACATGGAATTTTGGAATTTGGCCATTGTGGGAGCTTTTCTCCAAAGGTGGAGATCATAAATGCCTTCTCTCACAAAAAGTGCACACCATTCCTGTCACCATGAAGCAGATTCTTATTTCCTTCCCTGGGCTCTGGGATGGGCTTGGTGGCTGATTAGCCAATCTGTTGTTGTTAGGAACAACCAGAGAGTAGATAAGAAGACGTTCTGGAACTTCTAAACTTGGTAAGAGCCTTGCAGCTTCTATTTGGGTCTCTTGGAATGCTTCCTCTGAGGAAAATCAGCTGTCATGCTGTGAGTATGGGAAGACACATGGAAAGGCCGTATGTAGGGGCTCAGGTTGATATGACCAGCTGAGCTTCTGGCTGACAGCTCAACTGCCAGCCATGTGAGTGGCTATCTCGGACATCCAGCTCACTGAGCCTTTAGATGGTTCCAGTCTAGCTGCAAGCTCATGAACGCCCAATGAGAAGCACTCAATGAGCTTTGGGAATCCAAAGAACAGTGAGAAATAATAATAAATTGTTTTAAACCACTAAGTTTTTGGGTGTTTACTTGTGTGGCAACATACAACCAGAAGGGCCATTAAGCATGGCATTTGAAATAGAGGGATTTCCAAACCAGGACACAAATTATTCCTCTCTATTCAATGCTGATATAGTGTTTACCTGAGGCAGGAACCACACAGGTTCTTCACTGAATGCTCAGTAAATCTAACTAGAGAAGAAATTAGTAAACGGTTAGCTGGGAAGGACAAAGGTGAGGTCTCAGGCAGCAAGGCCTGCTTGCTTTGTTCTCCCCAGGGCACTGTGTACCAACCACAGCCTAGAGAAAGCTTCTCAAAAGTGTCAGTGCCCATCTTTGCTATCTCCTGTCAGCAATCATTCAGAGGTACCCAAATAAAATCTCAATATGAGCATATCTTCAAAAGACACTGGGTTATTTCCCAACAGATTGGAGTAAAAATTCTGTTTCTGCAGCTCTATCCAGGAGCTTTTACCTGAAGACACTGCAAATGATGACTTCCACTATAGCGTTCATGGCTAGTTTCTCAGGAACATCTTTCTGCTTATTCCCAAAGTCATCTTTCCAACACAACTTGCTGTTCCTTCTGTATGTCTGCAGCCTTCACATATTGACAAATCTTCAGCATGCACTGATTTGTTGGTTCACTTGTCTTTAACCTTTGTTTTGACTAGAAATGCCTGTTCTACAGTGTTGGTTCCCTTTTCTGAGTGCTGCCATCCATGTTAGGAGGAAGCATGGGTAATGGAAGGGCGACTACACTATGGGCTGGTGAGTGTAAATCCCAGCTATGGGCTGCTTAGGTGGTCTTAAGTCTCTCTCACTGGACCTGTTTCCACATGGAAATGGGTGGCTGGGCTGGACTCTTCAGGTAAGTGGCTGTAACTGCACTTGTAGCAACCTTACTTCTTTTTCCTCCATCCTCAGCCAAGGCTTTTCCCAGGTGGCCATGCATTTCTCTACCATGCAACACTGCCCCTGTCCTTTCCATCACTCCTACTGTGTCCTTACAGGTGTTTGTGCTTTGAAGAAAAGGAGTTTCTTCCATAACGACCTTCCAAGTCATAAGTGTGAGCTATTTCTCTTGGTCTTCACAATGATGAGAAGAATAAAGACAGCCTGGACAAAATGATTAGTGGCTCACAAGCTCAGACCATTCTTTTCTGCTAGGATCCTTCAGAGCCAACTAAGCACTTGATCTTATTTACTAGAGCATATTTCCAGTCCACTTCAAGTATTTCTATCTACAGGGACAGAATCAAATTTCACTGCAGGAACTAGGACCAAAATGCAAAAAAGATACTGGCTCTCAGAGAACAATATTTATCCAATTGAATGAAAAAATCAAGCAGTAATTGGCAAAGCAAATAGCTTTTTACAGAGCCATCTCTCCTGATTAAGCCCTTCTCATTTGAAGAAAGTTGTTTTGGTTGGTGCTATTGTTATAGGATAATCATTTTCAGGGTTATTTTTAGCCTTCAAATTTATTTTCCATACTTTGCCATCATGCTTGATTCCTTAAGACAAAAGGAATCACTTTTGTCTTAATTTTGCTCTTGATGCTTGCCAACATTTCATTGGAAAAGAAGTGAGCTTTCCCCAGCCTGTCTGTCCTCCTACTGAGATGGTAGCAGCAGCACCACGGTGAGCACTGTCCAGCGCAGGGGCTGGAGCTGGCCCGGGAGAAATGTGAAGGCAGGTATTCTTGTGTCCTTAGTGCTGAAAACACAGGTGAGCATTCTCTAAGCCACTCTCAAAGGTCCAGCCTCAGATGGGGAGAGGATGAGTGCAGCTCACCAGGCCCTTTCTTCTCCCTTTGGCAAACTGCAACTGCATCCTTACCTCGGGCACTGGAAGGGGCCGAGGTAATCATCTGGGATGGTGCTGAGTGAGTGGAACTCAGGCTGGAGGAAGAAGGGCTTGCCTGGGATGAGGACAGAACAGATACGTTGGTGACTGAGCCCTGGTACCTAGGGTTGGGATACGTGAGCTGCAAAGAGAAAAAAAAATCAGAAGGACAGAGGTCTGAGTGGCCAGGACTGTAAGGTCGCCCAGAGTCAGCTTCTTCAGCTCTGAGGTGCCCAGACTTGGTGCCTTGATGGAGGCCAGGCTGAGGGCCAGCACTAGGGGTCACCTGCCCCACCCACATGGAGCATGGTTGTTGGGTGGTCCCTGCTGATGGCGCCTGTGGAAGAAGCAGGATTCAGTTGTTAGGAATGTTAAGCAAGAGGGCAATCTGGCAGAGATCTTCTGAGGGTATCTCTGAGAGCAGCCAGGACTGAAACTGGGTTTCCTTCTTAGTAAAGAAAGAAGGCCTGGGAGCTGAGACTGGGGATGGTGTAGAGGTTTGCTAGTGCTGGTGGGAATGTTCTGCTTTTAGGGACTGGAGTACTAGACTAGAACAGTCAGCAGAAAGGTGAGGCCTTGAGGCCCAGTGAGCTGGCCCATTCTCCTGGGACAACTCTGGTACCTGCATGTGGTGGTACAGGTCCTCGGGTGCCTCGCCCATGGCGTTGTCACCCAGCATCACCATGTTTCCCGCTTCACTCGATGCATGTGAGGAGAGAGAAGATGAAGAATGGCGGCCTGTGCCCATCAAGTTCATGGGGCTGTAAGGAAGAGTGGGAAATAGGGACGAATCAGGTCTGGAACTGAGACACCAGGCTGGGTAGTGGAGGACAGTGGAAGGGAATGTGTGAAATTGTCAGCCCTAGCCCTAGCCCCCAATGGTTTGGAAGGCTCCCGGCCAATTCTCAGATCCATCAGGCCTGGAGCAGTTCTGAGTCTCACCCTGTTCTGAGAGGGTCAATGATGACTAGACTGGCATGGCCTCTAGCTGAGGTTAAATGGTACATGGCCACTCACTGAAGAGAGATGACAGAGAGATGCTGAATTAGATCAAGGATCTCAGGTCCTTCTTGTTCTGGACCTGCACATTGCCCACATGATGGGATCTACTCCTAGGTCAGAGGGAAAGCTATCAATATAGGTGAAGGTGAACTCTCTTCCACATCTGTAACCACAAGTTTCCCAACTGTTCTCCTCTGTCAATAATAGGCAGCCTTCATTCATTTGTTTGTTCTAATTTATGGAGTGGCTACTCTATGCTGACTTGCTGCTGACACTGGAAAACAAGTCAAAGTGAGGGGCTCCCCCACTGGTCTTATTCCCTGGCCTGGCTGCCACCAAGCATCCTCATTGGAGCCCAGGCAGACCAGGACTCTTGAGCCCAGAGCTTCCACACTTTGAAGTATCTATCACTGTATCATTCTCTCCCTTAAAACCTTCCTGAAGTCCAAAAGCCTGAATAAACAAGGCATTAGTCAGAGCTGGTCCCACTCTGCTTCCATACCCTGGAATCCTGAGTCCTAGCTACTCGGCTCTACACACAGTATTGATCAGACTGGCTTGCTCACACCCCAAGGTTTCTGCAAATGTTAGTTATTCTACTTATATTTTGCTCCATTACTTTCTAAACCCCAACTCTTTCCTGCTTTATAAACTTCTACTTACCTTTCAAGACGTACTCAAATTCCCCTCTTTTGTGTTCCTCCCAGATCTTGAATACCTTCTGATACCCAGAGTTATGACTGGCTGCGTGGTGCAGTGTGAGTCCTATAGCAGGAGCTGGGCAAGTATTCGTTGCATGCAGTAAGGGGGCATGCAAGTGAGTATGTGCAAGCACTACTCAGGACCCTCGACAGTCAGACTGAGGCCATACCTGTGCCGGTGGGTCATCTTGATGCTCTCAGGGCTCATGGGACTATGGGATGCCAGAACATTTCCCCGTGGCGTGCTGGTGCCTGAGCAGGCAGGACTTAGCTTGTCCAAACTTGGAAATTCCTGTTGAAAAATAAGTGCTTCTTCATCATAAAGTAAAGAATACGTAAGTTAGGGGCAGGAGGAAAGAATTGGCTGATGAAAGAAAATCTAACTGGGGGGCAGGGAAATCATCTACTGTTGACTGAACTGCTAACCTCTTTTTGACAATGGCCCCCCTGTAACTGAAACATCCTGTGAACCACACTGGAGCCTAGACCAGAGGCCATGAGGCCCTGGGCTGACCCCACCAAGAGAAGCTGAAGTTGGTCTGGGCTCACAGGAATGCTGTTAACAGACTTTACTGCAGGATATGCAGAACAAGAATTGGGAAGTAGAAGAGGCAAGGCTGCTGATCAGCTGTCAGTGCCATCTCTTACATAAGGCATGGGACTGGGTTTTACTGGGCTGCTAGGTGGCCCCACTCTGAGTGACCTGGGTTGAGTTGATTGTGGCACAATTTATGGGGAGGCAGGATTCAAAATCTTTGTGTCAGTAATTGAAAAAGGGCACAGTTCCATTTTAGCCTCATTAAATTTTTGTAAAGTACAGACTTTTTGGCAGGTACTATGGATCCCAAGTCCTCCTGGGTATTGGGTTGTGTTCCTGTTTGCAACTCTGAGGAAGCAAAACACATCAGGTCAAGTTTCCTCAATTTCTTTCCAATCCTTAGTGTTCTGAGGTGGGTGTTTCTGGGTTGGTTTGAAGAAGGAGCAGGTTTTCTACTCCTTTCTTCCAAAGTATGAAGAGGGTGCAAATGTGCTGCTGCAGCCAGAGAGGATGTGGACCAGGTGTGGACCTCAACATATGTGGATCAACATTTTGTGCTTCTTGCTGCAGTGACTTGACTATCTGCATGCCAGAAACCTCCCAAGAAGCCAGGCCTAGCCTGCCTGGGCCACCTGCACAGAGCAGGGACCAGGCAAACAGTGAACTCTCACCTAACTACCACCAGGAGGCGCAGTGGTATGAGAGGCAAGCGAAAACCTAGAACACTTTCCCTGAATGTCTCACCTTGAAGTACTATGGGGGAGTCATTACAGAAGGGAAGAACTCCAGGCTTTATGGGCTTTCCTCTGGAAAATGTCCCCACCTTCCAAGCTATAGACAAGCTTCTCTCTCTTATTACTGTTCAGGCTGTCCACACTTGTGTGGAAACTCGCTAACGTCCATACTGGGGACCTGAAGGGATTGAGATGACCAGAATCTCTAACATCAAAGAACAAGGCAGGTCAGCCCAAAACAGGTCAGGCCTACGGAGTCTGTTGGTACATCCTCCTCAGCATTTCTGTGGCTAGTGGCCATCCGTGAAGGGTTGTGTCCGATAGCTGTCCCAGCACTGAAGAGCTCTACTTCCTTGTCTCTTTGCTGCTTCAACCCATGGGTCCTGGGTTAATATGGAGAGGGCTTTCCTTGGGTGCTATGGGCCAAGAAGTAACTGGGCTTATAGCCCTTGAGACTTGGGTGTCAGCAAGTGAACAGAGGGCTCAGGACCACTGAACTCTATCCTCAGCCAGTCAGCGTTGCTTGAAATACCCCCACCACCACCCCCCACCCCCACTATTAAGTAATACA